TGTGTGTGTGTGTGTGTGTGTGTGTGTGTGTGTGTATGTGTGTGTGTTTGTGTGTGTGTGCCACCTGCCTTTTCATTCAGCCGATGCCAGAAAAGTCCCAGCACAAACACAGCACAAAGAGGAGGCTGCAGAAAGCTGGAAATTTCCTGAATGTAGACAAAGAGTTGACTCCCCTGACTGGCCTTGATGACGGGGATCCAGAGTAGGCTGATGACAACCAGGACAATCACGAACACTCTGGGGAACAATAGAAGCGAAACGAGACCGAAAACCTGTTATATAACATCAGAATATATTTTGAAAGTGTTTTCTTAGTCTAGGGCCTATATCTCCCCCCCCCCCCCATTTAATTTACCTTTTCATTCATCTTTATCAAATCTATCAACACCAGCGTCTGTTTTGTTGCTGTTATTGGGTTGTTCTTCTTCTTAGTGTAGGTGTTTGACTCTACCAACGATATTATACATTATTTTAGAGGCAGGCCTGTGATATTAAGATATATAGTTTGCACTTGTACAGATGCTACACTCCCACCGATATAATTTACATTATTTATAAAGTTTACTGCTTCGATGATGCCTGTCAGAGATAACCAAGGTCGAAAGGGATACAGCGTCATAACAGACGGACGGGGAGACTCGAATCATCACAAAAATAAATTATCTCCTCACACAGGGATCAAATTCCAGTGTTCTGTGTGGAACAGCAAAGCTATTAACTGCTTCGGTGTACTCTGTCTGTTGGGTGTTGAAACTCGTGAAACACATCTACTCACGTACTTCATTATTATATGAGTAGCTGTAAAGAGGAAAAGCCTGAAACAGTGGAGCATTCTCTGCCTGGTGACTGACTTCCTTGCCAAAATAGTATGGTCTGTGCAGCTTTCGACTGTCAGCAGCACAGGTACTCACTTTAAACTATATTATGTGAGGCAGCGTGGTGGAATCAGGCTCTCGTCAAAATAATCAAAGTGAAGAAACTTTCCGCAGGTTTGTGAATTTTTATCAAATTTTTCTTTTTTGGCTTAACACCTTTCATGTCCATTAAAGAACACATATTTGTGTGGATTTTTCTGAAAAAAAGTGGATTAAAGGCACAAAAAAATGTAAATTTTCAGTTACCACGGACTCTTAAGCTAAGGAAATAACTAATCTTTGGCAACCATTTTCTCACTAATTTTACCTCTTAAAACAGGTGACCCCACACCTCCTTCATTTGCCAATATCTCAACTTGTATTCAAGATATATGGATATTTTATTCATCCAAATAAAGACAAGTGAACAAGCTTTAAGATGATATCAATAACTCTGTATGCCCAAAAATTGACGAGAGCCTGATTCCACCACTCTGCCTCACATATGTATTCATTATGGTTTTAAAACCCGAGACAACATAGGGGGAACTGCTGCAGCTGCTTTTTCTTTCCTCATCCTTACAATAGTCATTTTCACTCTACTTCATTTGCAAGTTTGTCACTCTCTTATGAACTGCTTTTTCCGGAGTGTCTTAGTCGAAGCAAACTTTGTGCTGTCGAGGCTAAAGAGGTGAGCAGAGTAAGCCCGATTCCTCATTTGGACTTCTCTGTTGACATCCACTCCTTGGCGCTCATATTACCTGATGCAGTTACGAGCGCCGTAAAACCTTATCAAAACTAAAACTATAACAACTCATGATTCAAATTATCTGCTCACACACCTGCCAACAACCAAGATCTCGAACTCGGAGGCCTTCTTTCGGATGTGAGTCCACATGTCCATGGCGAAGATGGTGCTGCTGCTGTTGAAGATAGAGGTGAGGGAGGACATGAGAGCCGCCAACATGACCGCTATCATCATCCCTCGGGCGCCGGCGGGCAGTAGATTCAGCACCAGGGTCGGGTAGGCGATGTTAGAGCAGCCCGTGCTACTGCCACACACCTCCATGCATATGTCCGGGTCAGCACATCCAACAGTTTCTAAGTGAATAGTACCAATGATAATAATAATGCTAATACTACTAATAATACTAATAATAATGCTAATTGTAATAATAATAATAATGGTAATAATAAAAATAATCGGAACAACAATAATAATAATAATAATAGTGATAATAATCT